CATCCTTCAAAGCCTCGGTCGCAGGGACTGGGCGTATCCTGGAGAGTCGCCTGCCAGTGCCGGAGATAATAACCGATACAACCTTGGCCTACAGAAGCATTGAGGAAGAAATGGGGACTGAGGAGGGTTTGACCAAAGACAGGGAGGAGTTGAAATTTAAGGGCCTAATTTTTATTTCCACCGTGGCCCGTGCTACTGTGCAAAGTGAATGGTTACTATAACTTACAGCCCTCTGCATGGCCACAGAACTAGGACCCTACTAGATCAGACCAATAGTCCGTCCAGGCCAGTATCCTATGTCTAACAGTGACCAGCACTAGAGCTTCAGGGGAAGAACAGAACAGGGCAATTTTGTTGAGACCACCCCACTCTTCCACACTCAGCTTCTGGCTGACAGCGGTTTTGTGTGGCCGGGAGCATAAGGCGGCTAATTTCTTATTGATTTATCTAGTTATTTTTTTAAATCCATTTATGCTTGTAGGCATCACAATATCATATGGCAAGGAGTTCCTCAGGTTAGAATAATAGAATACTAGAACTGGAAAAGACCACGAGAGGTCATCAAGTCCAGTCCCCTACCCTCACAGCAGGACCAAGCACCATCTATCATCCCTGATAGATGTCTGTCCCACCTGCTCTTAAATATCTCCAGTGATGGAGATTCCACAACCTCACTAGGCAATTTATTCCAGTGTTTCACCACACTGACAGTTAGGAAGTTTTTCTCAATGTCCAACCTAAACCTCCCTTGCTGCAATTTAAGCTCATTGCTTCTTGCCTAATCATCAGAATTTAAGGAGAATAATTTTTCTCCCTCCTCCTGGTAACACCTTTTTAGCTACTTGAAAGCTGCTCTCATGTCCTCTCTCTGTCTTCTCTTTTCTAGACTAAACAAGTCCAGTTCTTTCAATCTTCCCTCACAGGTCATGTTTTCTAGACCTTTAATCATGGCTAATCGTGTGTGATGTGAAAAAAATCACTTCCTCTTGTTTGTATTACACCTGCTGCCTGTTCATTTCATCAGGTGAGCCCTGCTTTTTGTATGCAGGGGGGGAGTAGCAACACTTCTCTGTTCACTTTTTCCACACCATTCATGATTGAGGGGTCTTCGCATGAGTGAAAATCTGGCCAATATCTACTTAACCGGCCTTCTTTCCAGGGCCTCATGGGAAATTAATTTGTTTCGATGAAAAGCTGCCATCCCTTGGGGGGAATGGGCCTGATTCTGATCTCATAGACCCTGATTTTAAGGGGCTGCAACTCTCCTGACAGCCATGGCCTGATGTTTCCTGACTGGGTAGCAACCTATGTGGAACTTAGCTGGAGGAGCACAGGTTGCAGAAGGGAAGAGTTTGGAGGAGGCACCTGGTCAGTTTGTGTCCACATGGCTAGAATACCAGCTGGAACCTTGCATGAACTGGTCTCTCCTTATCATGAGTGGAAGGAGCAGGAGGCAGGGGAAGGCAACACCTTCCCAAACTGCCCGGCTGGTCCCACCCACACTCTGCCCCCAGCCGCCCAGGGCTGTCTGGGCTTCACAATAGAGATTTAGGGCCTTATTTATATACTCAGGTCCTATTTACAATCCTCCAGCAGCATAGAGGAGCTTTCAAGAGAGTGACAAGGACAGTTGTACATCAAAGCCCTTAAAGGGGAAGGATGTCCTAGTGGTTAGGGTGCTAGCCAGGACTTTAAAGATCTGGGCTCAATTTCCTGCTCTTCCACCGACTCTGCAGCTGACCTTGGGCAAATCATTTAGCCTCTTGGTGCTTGTTCCCCCATTGTACAATAGGGGTAGCAGCTGGCCTTGCCTCATAGAGGAGTTATTAGGATAAATACTTTGAAGAGGTGAGATTTTTTTTCAGCAATACAGGGGTAGCACCAGTGACGTATCTTAGCACCTCAGGGGTGAAAAGGAGAATCAGGCTTCAGACCTGGCCTATTCCCAAGCTTCCCCAGGCTTGATCTAAAGCTAGGTTTCTTATTTTTAAAGTCAACCAGCAAACCCCTGCCCTCCCCTGGACGTATCGCAGTTTAGCTCAAGTCGAATTCTTACCTATGAAACAATCAAAAAGTCCATCTGACTACAGCTGACTCCCACCGCAACTGCCAGACTATTGAACCTACAGGAGTTCTTGCTCGATGGGAAGCAGTGACAGAAATGGGGTACCCCTGTTCTTTCACTAGCTACTGGGAAGACGTTTAAGTTCCCCGGATTCATACATTTCAGGTCCTGCAAATAACCAAGGGTTTTCAGTTCCCGATGTGCACCTGCACGGTGCACGAGAGCTGTGAAACGGTAGAATGAAGTGAAAACAAGCTGGGGAAGAGGCTCTTTGCTTGAAAGCACCGATTCTCTATCACCCGCTGTCTTATTTAAACTACAGTTTGAACCTCCCTAGTCCGGCACCCTCGAGACCAGACCGGTGACAAACCAGAGGATTTGCTGATCCACAGTAGCACAATACTGTTTAGCAGCATTACCAGCACTTCTCTGCTCACGGGGCTCATAGAAGTCATGTAGGGTAAGTTAGAGCTAAACAACAGCACAGAACCCTGAAAGCCAGGACTGGTGGCTTAAACAAACTTTATGGGATCATGGGAAACTTGTCCGCACCCATGATAAGCGGACAGCTGGCTAACGAAAATCAGGCCAGACCACAGATGTTGCCAGACCAGAGAGAGCCAGACTAGAGAAGTTCAACCTGTATTGCAAAATGCTACCATACTGGACTGGTCGCATTTTGCCACCGTGTAAAGTGACTCCCTGAGAAAGTGCAGGACAAGACATCCTGGTCTCACGCCTTTATGTCAGTTTCCCCATTGCTCATCAGGGCACTTCCCAAGAGACAGGCGTGCCCGGGCGGTGAGCTGGGAGGGGTGCAGAGCGGTTGTTGGTTTTATAGGAAACCACCTCAAAGCTACAAGCAGCTCGAAGCATGGTGGCCTTTTGGAGAAGTGCTTGGAAAGGGAAGGTGACTCAACGGGATGACTTTGTGCAGCCTGGGCTTGATTCATTCATGGATAGATGATATCTTGCCAGTCCAGCCTCTTCTTGCTCCCAATCCCTTCTGTGTCGTAATTAAGCTGAGCCCAGTGGTAGCTCCATGGTTGCTCAACAGCCCCCTGCCAGACACTCATAACATCCTGCCAACAACAGGGATAGAACCCCGATCCTCAAGCACAGGAGCCGGTTACCTGACCTACAGGAGAATCCTTATCAAATGGCAGAAGTAAATGGGCTATGACACACAGAGGAGCAGTGCTGGTTTTATCCAGCAGAGGGCAGTGGCAGTATCATGCCAATAGGTTGAAAGTCGGTGTACGAAGCATTTTAAGTCTCTGTAGCCTTTGCTGGAACTTAAAAATAGGAGGAGAGCAAGTATGTTTTGTGGCTGGAGGCACACACAACTGACAGCAGCTTGCATTTTCCTAGGTCTCACAAAGCACTTTACAAATATTATCACATTAACCTTTGCATTCCCCGTGGGAGGCCAACATTATTCCCATTGCACACAAAGGGAAACTGAGGCACAGAGCATAGCTGGGAGTTGCCCCAAGTCACCCAGGGACTACAGCTGGGAGGGGTGGTAGAACCCAGCAGTCCTGACTCACAGCCCTGAGTGCCAGCCACAAGCCCTTCCCTTTCCCAACTGTAACAGAGAGTATGACATCGCTTGTTTCAGTATTACTCTAACGACAGCAGCATCACCTTTGTGCTTTGTGCTTGGGGTCTGTTTTCCCCTAGGAGAGGCTGCCAGGCTGTGGGCAGGGCCCATGGTGCCGGGGCAGGCGATGGGCACCGCTCACATACCAGGGCTGCGTGGTGCAGAAGGGGAGTTATGCTGGTAGAACTGGGAGGCTGCATTGAGCGGGCGGGCCCAGCCAGGGTTCTTCCATTTATCCCAGCCCAGCTGGGGCATCCCCCACTGGTTTTCCCTCAGCCCTTTCCATCACATGCACTCGCAGTCCTCACTCCACACCCCGGCCAGCAACCAGCGCTGGCTAGTCAGTCCGGCTAGAGCCAGAGAGAGCCACAGAGGCTGTCAGTGTCCAGCAGCCTCCATAAAGTAACCCCCCCACTCCGGTAGGACAGTCTCAGGGCCAGGGTGCATCTTTCCATTATATATTTGCACAGCACCCAGTGTAACCCACACACCTGCTGGGTGTGGTGTGCTGTCCAATCTAATGGTACTGAGACCAATTACAGAGAGAAGATGAGTCTACTCTACGGCCTTAGCCAAGAGCCAGCTGGCTTTTAGCTCATGCAATAGTAGAGGCGCAGGCACTAAGCTCCAGAGGTCCTGGGTTCGGTTCCACCCATCATCGGTGTCACACTAGCACATCCTGATCAGGCTGCTAGGCAGCGTTCCCTGTGTAAGCTGAGTGCTTGGGCAGCCACCCAGGAGAGATTCAGATACTGATTAGCAGAGTGCCGCAGCCGGCAGCAGGTGTTTCTACTGGGGGTGCACATGTCTCAGCGCATGCAACAAAATGTATTCTGTTCACAAACGGAAAAAGTTAGAGGGTTCTATCCCATTACAGCCATAGTCATACAGTTGAGGGGGATTCCCCTCTTCCCCGATTCTGGGTTCAGAGCAACCCACTCAGGCAACTTTTTCAAAGTGGGATCATTTGTGATTATTAGTCACATTGCAGTACTGCTGGGAAGCCCCAATCTTGGCCCGAGATCCCCTGGCGCTAGGTGCTGTACAAACACAGGCGCAAATGACACCCCCTGCCCTGGAGAGCTTGCAATGAAAGCATGGGCCATGGAAGGGGGACAGGGAAGAGAGAGCAAGATCAGCCAGATCCAAACCGTCAAGATAACTGGGCCACAGGGCCCTGGTTCCGGGCCCTGGTTCCGGGCCATCTCCGGAGGAAGGGCAAAGCAGCCGATACTGATAAAACTCACCTCCCAGCCCGGGCTGGGCAGGTGCCTCCCAGGGAAGGAAGCAGGGAAGCCCGGTGGCAAAGGAAGTCCCAGGAGGAAAAGTTACCTTTGAAGAGGTAATCGTATTCATCGTCCTTGCCACGCATCCTGCTGCCCGCTCCCCAGGTGAGGCGTCCTCCGGGTGCACCCCTGTCCTCTGTTCCCTGAGCCACTAGCAGGGCTGATCTCAGCACTCTGGGATTTCCTGGGCTTGGCCAGAAACACCCCCTCGCTCCCTGCAGTAGGCCTCATCAAACCTTCCCTGCACACCGATTGGCCTGTTGCTCTCCTCTTCTCCTGCTGACTGGCTGGCCGGGCTGTCCCTCAGTGGCCAGGCCGGTAGGGTGCTCACCTGGCTCAGGTATGAGAGGTGGAGCTTGCATGAATAGTTTTTAAAGGAGCCATGACTCTTTTCCCTCCCACGTTCTGGGAAGTGATGGGATGGAGAAGGGTCAGGAGGCAGATGAAGGGGAGGGTGTGAGCAGAGAAAATGGCTCCCTCCCCCAGCTGGCAACCTCTTTGAGGGATAACTTGTAAAACCTGTCACAATTCTTTAACTCTGTCTTGAATACACAGTGGGGGAGATGAGGAGAGGGAGTTAATTTGCAGGATTTTGTGTGACTGTGTTAATGAAATAATCTGACTGGTGTGTGTGGTGTGGGTGTCTGTATTTGTGCATGGGTGGAGTACACTGCCGGTCTGTGTCTCATAGACCCTTTACTGCTAGCATCCGGGGGATTCTCCCCTGATTTAGGTGGCAGTAAGAGGGTCTTTGTTCTAGCTGTGATGAGCAGCAAAGTTCAGCAAGCCCTCCCAAAGCACATATTTATGCTCAGACACATGCATGCCCACTCTCTTACTTGCACACTAATTTGACATTTGTGTATGCACATTTATGTGAATGCACACCTATATTACACATTCATGAATGGACTCATAGGGTCAGAAGTGACCACAAGGGTCATCTAGTCTAAGAGGTGACTGGTGCTTGTGGAGAGAGGGGGTGCAGGGAGGGCCACCCAGAGGGATGGGAAGGCATGTGGGGGCACCCCTTTAGTAATTACAATGTTGTTAGGGGCATAGGAGGACAGTGCACCTCCTAAATGCTACCAGAAGTCACTTATGCATCTAACCCTTTGACAAGAAGCAGGATTTGTGCGTTCACTTGCACACTCATGCTCAATGTTTGCTCACATGTGTGAATGCACATGAACTCACTTTGCACACTCACGTGCAGGCACACTTGTGCTCACTTGCACTCCTGTCGATTCACCCTCACACGTGCACTAATGTGCATGGACACATTTGTGCATGCTCACATTCTCACATTCACATGTGTGCGTGCTTTATCATACTTGTGTAAATGCACACACGGTTACCCATGTGCATTAATGCTTGTGCGCAGATACACAGACACACCCATCCCTGCACACACACCTATATGGCTCTCACCCACACATCAAAGCTTTGATTTAGCACCAAAACGTCAACACAAAACTGGACTGAGTCAAGCCCCTGGGCTTGCAATGGCTCAATCCCCAAGCTGTAGCTTGGGAAACAAGGCCCCAGCTTTTGGCTTCCACAGCCTGGCAGCTAAACTGACCGGACTTTCAGGTTGATGGCTCATCAGCAGCCTCTAAGGCTGGTGTCATCAGATCAGAGAACATCCTTGCAGCTCTCGGGAGGGGCTGATTGACATGACTGCTCCCCGGAAGGGGGGGTCCTATGCAGTGAACTGTGATACCAACTCTGGCTTCCCCCTGCACCCTGGCCACCCAGCCCCTGCCAGGGAGGCAGTATCAGCCCAACCCAATCAAGATACGTCCCCCCCATTCTTTAATGTAACCAGCCCCTCTTGGGCCACCGGCAGGATTTGAACTGAGGACTTTTCAGAGCTCAAAACACGGAGCAGCAGCCAACCCACAAATCTCTTCCATGGATCAGACACTAGAAGTCGACAAGGAGACACACTCTGAGCTAGGACAGACTTTGGGTACTTAAATAGTGTAGGACCCAGTTAGTGTAGGACCCAACACTGTAGCCAGCGTTCTGGGGGAACACCCTTACCTTTCTGTGACTCTGACCAGCAGGCGTTGATGTCCCGTGACATGATGAACAGACATTGCAGGCTCTTCGGACCAGCTGGCTCTGTACCCCCTGCACCCCTTTTTTTCCTCCCCAGGCGTGGGGAAGGGGAGGGGACGATGCTGTTTTCTCAGCTCTTGGGAAAGCTAGCCAGCCCCATGGCCTGAGCTTCACTGCTGGGGTTCCCAGGAGAGGGGTGCTCCGTGCTGGAATGGTCCTGCTTCCCTGCATGGCCTGGCAGGGCGGCAGAACACTCTGCAGACAGGAGTTAATGACATTTCTTGGTGCGCCAGAGAAGGGATTTCCGGGGGGCTCTATGGAGCAGGGGTGGGCAACAATTTTTGATAGGGAGCCACGCCAAGATTTTGGTAAGTGGTCAAGACCTGCACTTTTCTATGGAGGGGGTCAGGGCCTGGGACGGAGGCTGGGTGCAGAAGGGAGCTCGGGGTTGGGGACTGGGTGCAGGAGAGAGTGTGGGGTCTGAGAGGGAGTTTGGGTAAAGGAGAGGCTGTGACCTGGGGCAGGGTTCAGAAGGAGGTAAGGGTGCAGGAGAGGATTCTGGCCTGGGGAAGGGGTGAGGGAGGGGGTGCAGGGTCTGGGAGGGAGTTGAGGGGCAGGAAGGGGTGGGGTGCCAGAGGCAGGCTCTGGCTGGGAGGCGCTTCCCAGCCAGCAGCCCAGTGGGTCCCTCCTGCCACAGCCACAGTCTGCTCAAAAGGGTCTGGCTGCTCCGTATTGCTCTCTGGCTGCGCTCCGGGGGTGGGAGGAGGGACTTCACGCACTGCCTCTGCCCTCCCATTGGCAGCCAGACACTTGGAGCGGTCTGGGGCTGCTTCGTACCTGAGGGTCTCTGCGGGGTAGGCCATGGGCTGGACTGAAAGGCTTGGCAAGCCACATCCACCCCATGGGCCGCATCCTGGTGCAGAGCCAAGGTGCAGCAGTAGCCACGGTGACACTGCTGCTAGAGTAGGACAGGCTATGAAGGAAATGGCAGGGGGCAGCCTGAGACAGTGGCCTTCTGGGAGCTGGATGTTTGGAGCCTCGTTCTCCACCCCCTATGCCCTCAGACACTTCAGGGTGTCCCTCATACTGCCTTCCCCATGCGGGAGCCAGCTCCATTTCTGGGGCAGCCAGTGTTGGCTGTCCTGCAACTCCCGGGGGGGGGGGGGAGAAGGACTCGGACGCACCACCCCGTGCTGACTGGAAGAATGACTCCCGTTTTTCACTTGAGCCACCAGGGCTGGGGGACTGCCGGCGGCCAAGAGAAAGCACTAGCAGTGCGGGGTGGGTGTGCGGGCACGTAGAAAGGGAAAGGAGGTGTGAAGGAGGTGTGATGTCAATTGTAAAATGTCCATTGACTTCAATGGAGTCAGGATTTCATCCTTCGTGTGTGTGTGCACGTGTGTGTGCATGTGTCATGCTCTAGATTCTAGAAGGACCCCTCACGGGGGGGATTGAATGCTCAGTTTCTATCACTCAGTCTCATTTCAGCCTCCCAGCTGATGTGACCTGTAAATAGGGGAGGGATATACTAGGCGGGGGAAGGCACTGCCTCCCCAAACCGTCAGCCTGGCCCCACCCAGACTCCACCTCCAGAATGCCTACTGCAGGCGCACTGGGGGCTTGGGAGCCTCGGACCGCCCGCCACCTGCCCTCCCCATGCCCCAATACTGGGGAGGCTGGGACCATGCACCACCCACCTACCCTCCCTGTGGTGCTGAGGGGCGGGGCTTGCCTCTTGTGGGGGCGGGGCTTGGGCAGAAGGGGCGGGGCTGGAGGCAGGGCTTTGGGCTTGCCTCCCACAGTCCTACCTTCTCCCACCACTCATGCCATAAGGGGCTAAGACACTGTGGACACTGTCTGGTGGGCCCTAGACAAGGGGACTGGGTGAGGATATGGCACATGGAGTCTGGCTCCCACTATTGCTCCCAAGTGGAAAAGGAAGGACATGCGCACCAAAGTCCACCGGGATGGGTCCAGAACTAGATGAGGGGAAACTGAGGCGGGGTGACTGCTGTGCTGCGGCATGGCCAGCTCTCTGGAATTGCTCCCTGCCACCCTCCCTTTACACTGGGGTGGTTCTGTGTGTGAGCTTTGCAGCTGGCCCCTCTCTCCGGCCCTTAGACTTGTATCAAGGCCTGGGGTTGGTGCCTGGGCAGAGATGTGGGGTAGCTCCACTGAGCCCAGTGGAGAGAGGCTGATCTGCACCACGCTGAAGTCCCGTCCCCACTCCTCAGAGCCCTGCCGGAGCTAACTCGGCTAAGGGAAAGCAGCTGAATTCTTCTCCCAGCCAGGCGCGTCACCCCTCTGCAGAGGCAGCAGCGCACAAGCAAGTCACTGCCTGCAGCCTGTTGAGTTTGGGGGTTCATCGTGGCTGGGCTTTGTGCTAGAGCCAAATTCCCCGATCCCTCAGCGGAGCTCTGCTCTTGCTCCCCTTCAGCCGCCGGGCACAGTTTCATCACAAGGCCAATTACATCTTTTTCTTCCTTCCGTGTAGATCAAACGCAACTGGGAATCATATCAGGGAAATAAATGAAGCCCCCACAATGGCTATAAAAATATTTTGCTGGGGGGAACCCAGGACTGGAACAGCTGGAATGGGTTGGAAGGAGGGGCAACAGCTGAGCTGTGTGTGGGGAGCCCAGGGGTGCGGGGTGTGTGAGTGTGTGTGTGGGTGCACACCCTATGGATGAGGATGGAGATCTGCTAGCAGACTGGAGTGTTGGAAGATTTCACAGCAGGATCCGAAACCCCACATCATGTAGGTTCACCCCACAGCCTGTCCATTGACACCCCTTTGGAAGAGGAATTAAAAGGATGGAAAAACCAGAAGAGATCCTCAAGGGAAACATGGCAGGGATGTTCAGGAGGTAAAGCTAAGCAGCCTCGTTCCTGAAAGGTTCTCTCAATGTTTTAATGTTTGGGCCAACGTCCTATCCATTGCATCACACACACTCCTTCACCAGAGACAATCTGTACAAAAAGACCCAGCCCCACTCCAGAGATCATATAAATAATTCCCACTGAATTCAGACATTCAGAGGATACAGCAGTTAGCTTTGCGACAGGCCAAAGCGAGGTTTAAACGAGATTGGGGTGTGTGGGCGAGGGATTTAGCATTTCTGTCTCGGCACAGAATCTGTTCCAATGAGTTAAATTGCACTGGTGTAAACCCTGACCAGCTCCGATGGGCCAGATTCTGATCCCCAATACCCTTTGTAAATCAAGTGGCTTCAATGGCGCTGGGGCAGATTCTGATCTCAGATACCCCAGTGTAAAGCCAAAGTCACCCCACTAATACCAACAGAGTTGGACCGGAATCTGATCTCAGATACAGTGGCGCACAGAGCCACTCATCTCACCAGACTGGTGTATATCGGCATAACTTGAACGGAGCTTTGCTTATTTATACCAGCTGAGATGTGGCCCTGTGAGGGGGTGGACCAGGCCCTGAAGCCCCCTACTGAAAGCCTGTGGCCTTGCCACACCCTTCCCCAGAAAAGGACCATAGAGAGGCCCTCCGGGCAAACTAGAGTGGCTGCAGGAGAACCCAGCCAATCAGGGGCCAGGAAGGCCTATAAGAAGAAGCTGCAGACTGGAGTCAGTTCAATGTCTCTGGGGCCTTGAAGGAGTGAAGACTGTGGTTAGCTAAGGGAGCAGCACCACCATGGAGCGTGCTGTGTGGGGAGCTATTGTGGACTATGGTGAGGCTATGCTGGACTGAAATAAACCCCCGAGGTGAGGGTGCAAGGAAGCGCTCTCCAGGAGGGGAAGTCCTGGAGGCATCACTCTCTCCATGTGGGGAACAGACTAAAAGCTAAGCATGGAATATCCATGAGCCTCATTTGCATATCTAATGAGCCGCCATTTTTGCGGAAGAGGCTCTTGCGCCAGAAGGAGCGTCTACACTGCCGCTTCTTGCACAAGAAAACCCCTCTTGCGCAATGCTGTTATTCCTGAAAATAATTGGCGTGACGGCATTGCGCAAGAGGGGTTTTCTTACGCAAGAAGGGGCAGTGTAGACAGCTCCTTCTGGTGCAAGAGCCTCTTCTGCAAAACTGGCAGCTCATTAGCCATGCAAATGAGCAGGGCTTGACAAACGGTGACGAAAGCTGCTTGCCTGCACTGCGCAAGAGCTGCCTTGCGCATGCGCGCGCCGCTGATAAACAGGGCGCGGCTGAAATCTACTCGCCACGGGCGAGTAGATTCTATAGTTTGTCAAGCCCTGCAAATAAGGCTCAGCGATATTCCATGTTTAGCCTCATTTGCATATTTCTGCTGCAAGAAGCTGCGAGTGTAGACATAGGCTAACAGAGGCCACTGAGAAGGGCCCCGATAAATGTATTCCTTGGAAGGGGTTGGTGATCTGCACGCTGGGTGTGTGACTTGGCCGGAGGACTGAGTAGCCGAAAAGGCTAATAAACTGAGGGAGTGCAGGCCCACGCCCTCTTGGCCAGACAGGGGCACTCGCGGGAGGTGAGTGCTGCCCCATTACCGGCCCGTTGACTTCAGCAAAGTTTGATGCGGAGGCTGACGTGCATGGCTTTGTGCCACGGACCTCAGCGCATGACTCTAGCTTCCCAAGGTTGCCCAGAGAGCAAAATCCAGCCCGGGTTCCATAAAGAGCACAGACACTGAACCGTGCACGAGAGCGAGATGCCTCCTCTTCCTTCCCCCTCTCTAACTGGATCCAATGCCCCTGAGTTCCATGGAGAAAACCCTTGTGACATCAAGGGGCATTGGGCTACTAAGGACTGGGCCCCTGGACAGTGTGTGTTGACGGATGGTCTGATTTTTGTGAGGTAGTCACATTTACAGCTATGCAGGTCTGGAGACCAAGCCCTTCGCTTGAGTTGTTTTAACAGAGGAACCGTTCCTCCCCACATCTCACCCTCTCATCTCTGAGATCTCAGACCTCAAAGCAAGGCTGCTGCACAAGGGATCAATAATTTGGCAACTCACCCCTAGAGCTAGAGAGATGGGCTTTCTCTCTATCCATGCCTGGATTGCCATTGTGTATAGGGCACCGCCATAGCTGTCTGGTCAGTGCGATTTGGTACCCCAGGGGTGCTCGGACCGCAGGGCTGTATGCCTGCCATTAGAAGCACGGCCAGGTTGTATAAACCAGCAGGGTGCAAATTGCGTCTCTGATCCTGAAATTGGAGTCCCGTGGCGGTACCCTCCACTGACTTTGACAGGGAGGGACAGATTCTGACCTGAGATGCAGCTGTGTGATGCTGGCATGAGACCTGCGGAGCTGAGGGGCATGGAGGCCAGATTCTGAGCATGTCTGGAGCCAGTGGCCAGATCAGAGCGCTACACTGATACTACTGAAGTTCCTCCCTTGGAAGCCCTAGTTGCAAGAAGTGAGGAAGGACTGCCCAGTGGTTAGGGTGCTAGCCTGAAACTTGGGAGAAAGGTTCAGTTCCTGGCTCTGCCACAGACACCCTTTGTAACCCTGTGTTACCTAGTCTCTCCGTGCCTCAGTTTCCCCATCTGCACTGGGGATAATAGCTCTGCCCTAGCTCAGAGAGGATTAGGAGGATAAATACATTAAAAAGGGGCTCAGATGCTTGATAACTAAGACAGATGGGTGTGTTCCTATGGCTGACTCCCCCTCTGCTGGGGTGAGAGTTGGCCAGCCAGCACCCCCATATTCCCCCTATTATGGTTTGGCAGATTCCAGGGAGCAGAGCTCTGGGGGAGCCGCTGCCTGCAGGATGGGGGTGGGTAATGGCTTGTGAAGGGTGCCTGAGAGCGGGGCTGACATGCTTCCGTCACCCTGCCCCTTCCTGGCTTGGTGCAGTTCCTGGGAGGTTTGAGAGGGGAGGGACGTTCCCTCTGGTCAGAAAGCACAGTGGATGGAGGGGCTCATGCCTCCGCAGTCCAGCTCCTGCCCTCCTCTCAGAGGTTCACGCAGCACGATCGCTTCTCCTCCAGGCCCTGGGATGCGCCGAGGGGGTTCTCGCTGGAGAGCGACACCGCGTTGTCCTGCGGGCTTCTCTGCTGCTGCTGCACTTTGTTGAAAATGTCTGGAAGAGGAAGCAATAATGAGGGATCCTGGGGTGTTCCCACTCATCCGGGCCCTGGGTTGCTCACACCAGGTGCTGCTGTGCCCTCCCCAACCCCACTGGGAGCCGGGCCATCTACAGAGGCTGATGTGTAGGGCCCTACCACATTCACAGCCCTGCGAAATGCGTCATGGACTGTGAAATGTGATGTCTTTCTGTGAAATCTGGCTTTCTGGGCACTTTTACGCTGTGCAATACACAGGTCACAGGGGAGACCAGTGTTCCTCAAAGTAGGGGTTCTGACCCCAAAGGGAGTTGCTGGGGGATCACAAGGTTATTTTAGGAGGGTCACGGTGTTGCCGCCCTTACTTCTGTGCTGCCTCCGCAGCTGGGCAACTGGAGAGCAGAGGTTGTATTGTAATGCTGGCTGGGTGCCCAGATCTGAAGGTTGCTCCATGCCAGCAGCACTGCAGAAGTCAGGGTGGCAACACCCGACCCATGTCGCCCTGACTGCTGTACTGCTGCTTTTAGCGCTGGGCACTCAGAGAGCGGCAGCTACTGACTAAGAGCCCATCTCTCAAGCAGCATCACAGAAATAAGGGTGGTAACACTGTACCATCCCATTCTTACTTCTGTGCTGCTGCCTGCAGTAACGCTGCCTTCCGAGCTGGGCTCCCAGCCAGCTCTCCACCTGCTCAGCTTTGAAGGTTGCACCGCCACCAACAGCAGCACAGAAGTAAGGGTAGCAGTGCCGCAACCCCCCTACAATAACTGTGCAACTCCCCCCACACACACACACACACGCAGCTCCTTTGCGGGTCAGAACCCCGACAATGGCAACACCATGACATTTCCAAGTGAAATAGCTGAACTCATGAAACTTACTATTTTTAAAATAGGATGACGGTGAAATTGACCAAAATGGACCGTGATTTTGGTAGGGCCCTGCTGATATGCCTTGTACAACAGAGTTGGCTCTCTCAGCTCAGAGAGGTGGTGGTCCCATGTTTGATATCTGCTGAGGGTGACCTATCCAAGTCTTGCCATAATGCAGGTGAATCATTGGGGCTTGCTGGGTCCTCACTGAGGTGCATGCCCATCGAGAGATAGACGTGGGGCCCCCAGACAGCATGTTTACTTGGGTTCTACCTCCTCTCACTTTGTTATATTTACCCAGATGTGTTGGGACACTTCCCCTTGAACTCAGGACCCTGGTATGATTGCCTGCCCTTCACACACACAAACAGCCCTGCTCAGGAGTGTCCTTTGGCTGTTGGAAATGGGCACCGTGTGGGTAACTCCTGGCCAAACCCGGCTTCCCAGCTGGATCTCTCTCCACAGTCATGCCGGGTTTTATCCGAGATCTTTATGTCTAGGACGATCCCCTGTCTAACCCAACGGCTCAGGGAGACCAGGTGGCTTAGTTGTTAATCTGCCTCCTTAGCACAGGGAGAAGGCCTGGGGGTAGACAAAGCGCAGATCCAGTCCAGCATCCTGCAAAGCCAATGGGCTGTTTTGTCAGGGCAGGCGGTGGAATTCTGGGTTCCAGGAGAAGGCGATACCTCATTCGGTTTCCTTAGCGCTTTCTGGTGGCAGGAGTCATGTGGGGTCTTGATCTTGTTCTATGGAGAGTTTACTGCTTCCCCCGAGCTTATCCACCTGCTGCCCCCCCAAAGCATGCTCAGGAACAGCTCCCTGACTCTGTACCCCCCAAACCTGGGCGCACCTCGCAGGATGGTCTCGAAGGCCTGCTCGACGTTGGTGGAATCCAGTGCAGATGTCTCGATGAACAGCAGCCCGTTGTTTTCTGCCAGAACAGGGTCATAAGAGAAGCATGGGAAACACTGGTACCGTTTCAGGGCTCAGCTAGCCGAGCACCCCTCTTTCTCCCATAATCCTTGGCCCATCTAGCGTGGCACCTCCCCCAGCAGAACAACATCAGGGTGAGGGAGAGGAGAGAACCCCCACCCTGCTGCCCACAATACAATCCCTCCCTCCTGCCCCCCAGGATCCTACAGGATCAACACTAACTCAGGAAGAGTGCCCCCTGCTGAGCCCCCACCTCCCTGTAGCCTGGCACCTCCTGACCATATTACATTACAGACCCTGCTTAGCTCATGGGTAGGGTCCTACCCACTTCACAGCCATGCAAAATGCATCATGGACTGTGAAATCTGGCCTTTTGTGTGCTTTTACCCTGTCCTATACAGCGAGACCAGTGTTTCTCAAACTGGGGGTTCTGACCCCAAAGGGAGTTGCTGGGGGGTTCACAAAGTTATTTTAGGAGGGTCACGGCACTGCCACCTTTACTTCTGCGCTGCCTCCAGAGCTGGGAAACGAGAGCGAAGTGGCTGTAATGCTGGCCGGGTGCCCAGCTCTGAATGCAGCGCCCTGCCAGCAGCAGCGCAGAAGTCAGGATGGCGACACCCTACCCATGTTGCCCTAACTGCTGTGCTGCTGCTTTCAGCACTGGGTGGCCAGTGAGTGGCAGCTGCTCACAAGAGGTCCCAGCTCCATAGGCAGCAGCGCAGACATAAGGGTGGCAACACCGTCCCATCCCATCCTTCCTTCTGTGCTGCTGCTCGCAGTAGTTCTGCCTTCTGAGCTGGGCTCCCAGCCAGCAGCCGCTGCTCTCCAGCTGCCCAGCTCTAAAGGCAGCACCGTCGCCAACAGCAGCACAGAAGTAAGAATAGCAGTGCTGCAACCCCCCTCCAATAACCTTGTGACCCCCCCACCGCTCCTCTGTGGGTCAGAACCCCGACCACGACAACACCAGGACATTTCAGATTGAAATAGCTGAATTCATGAAATTTACTAGTAAAAAAATTCCCATGACTGTGAAATTGACCAAAATGGATGGTGAATTTGGTAGGGCCCTGCTCACAAGAGCCTAGCACCAGAAAAGAGTTGGGAGCCAGGCAGAGCTCTGGGCTGGGAGGCTTTCAGGGCCGCTCCAGGACACATTCTCGGGGGGCAGTAGTGGAACCTAGCAGGCGGTGGCTGTCTCAGAGTGGGCCTGCCTGGGGCAGCAGGAGCCTACCTGCAAACATCTTGGCCTCCTCCATTGGCACCTCCCGGGCCTGGGCTAAGTCCGTCTTGTTGCCCACTAGCATGACGATGATGGTGGCTTCGGCATGGTCATACAGTTCCTTCAGCCAGCGTTCCACCACGTCGTAGGTCTGGTGCTTGGTGATATCGAAAACCAGGAGGGCACCCACTGCTCCCCTGTAATAGCTGCCGAGAGAAGGCGGCTTTTACCACAGGGCCCGTCACAGCCCCACTGCCTCCGAAGGGATCAGCCTCATGGGGTCCAAGCCCTGTTATTTTTCAGTGGGGATGCAGCTTCCCCTTCCCCTTCCCTCCTTGTGGCTAAGCTACTAAGATAACAACCTACTACTGCTATCAAGCTGTGGAGTTACTCCTTTAACTCCACCAGTCTGGGTTGTGTCTCTGGAGGGCTGGGGTTCAAATGCTGCTGGGAGTCCATCACAGTCAAACACACCCCCTCGTTTCACTGACTCCACCTCCCCCCCCCCTTAATTATCACCATAAAAATATGCATGGTGCTGCTGAGGGACAGTCCCACGGAGAGTTCGGTCCCGCACGGGCATCTAATCGGAGCCCCAAGAAAGTCTGGTGCCTGGTTACACCTGCTATAGATCCAGTTTCTTGAGTCAATGCAAGATGCTGCCCAGTCCAAACGGAAGTGTCCTAGGCCGGTTTTGCCTGCATGTAAATGACTCAGGAAGGGCAGGGCTCTGGCGATACTTAGACATTCTCCATCCCAGCTGCTCTGGGGTCCCACAGCACCTCTAAGCAGGTGGTTCGCAGTGGGGCTTGAAGATCCTTGGATCCAACGGCACTGGCACCTCCCACTTGAGCTAAAGGAGCAGATCAGTGCACACACTTTAGTGCAGTAGCTTTCATCGCGACCAGGACTCGGTGGTGGAATGTTGGGGCCCTGGGTCTCTTTGCTGCAGCCAAGGCAGCTTCCTGCCTGTCCTGGCACCACAGACTGTGCTGCGCCCCAGAAGCGGCCGGCAGCAGGCCCGGCTCCAAGGTGGGGGTGGGGAGCACACAGGGTTCTGCGCACTGCCCCTACCCCGAGCACTAGCTCCACACCCACATTGGCTAGGAACCTGCTTCTGGCTGCTTCTGGGGGCAGCATGGTCTGCGGTGCCAGGAGAGGCAGGAATCTGCCTTAGCCCTCCCGCTGCACCGCTGACCAGGCGCCGCTCAAGGAAAGCCCCTCCTGCCCCAGCCCTGCCCCCACCCCAAAGATGGAGACTCCCCTCTCCTAGGCCCAAAAGCTCCCATGCTCAGCTCCACCCCAGAGCCCGCACTCCAGGCAAATGATGTTGGGTCATGGGCATCAAGAATTTTCTTCAACTGGGTCATGAGAGGAAAAAGTTTACAAACTGCTGCTTTAGTGGACTTATAACCCTCTGTGTGGCCCTGCTACTGGAGGGAGACAGTCACGCCGAGTATGGGTGAGTCACATACAAAGCCCCCTTTGCGTTCAGATGTGCCTGCCTCTCACGTGGAGCAGCGCTCCCCTGAGAACGGCTGCTGCCATCCCCACCCTTCCACGGTTGCATCAAGCCGTGTGGCCTGCTTACGCTGAGGTGATGGCACGGTAGCGTTCCAGCCCGGCTGTGTCCCAGATCTGTGCCTTCACCATGGCGTTGCCCACCATGACGGTGCGGGTGGAGAATTCCACGCCGATGGTGGTGCGGCTGTCATGGTTGAATTCGTTACGGGTGAAGCGTGAGAGCAGATTGGTCTTCCCCACACCAGACTCTCCAATCAGAACCACTAAGGAGACAAGAGAGAAACTCCTAGCAAAATATGATGCCAATATACCAGGGATAGAACTTTGAACCTCCTATTTCAAAAGATGGAGAATCCTCATGAGCTGGGTGCAGTATAGGGAATATGACAGCTAGTTGAACAGTTCTGATTCTAGTAGAGAGCACTGGAACATGAGCAGTGGGACAGAGACTTTCATCTTTGTCGCCCAGATGGCAGCAGTGCAACTATTTTGGTGCCTGAATCTCCACTGCCTTGCGCCTCGTACTGTAATTTACACGGCCAGAAGCTGGCATCATATGCTATTTAGGCAGAATCACCATTGTGCACTGGTGCAAATGATGACACAAGTTGCAGGGAAATGATGAATTGGGCCAATAGTCTGGTGTAACAGACAACGGCTGCATCTAAGAACATAGCAATTGTCATATGGGAGCAGCTCATGTGTCCATGTAATCCAGTGTCCTCTCTCTGCATTAAGCAATTAGAGGGAAAACATGACCCAGAAGGAAAATTTCTTCTGAGCCCCTATCAGTTCTGTTTTTCCATTCCCAAGGAGCAGGTTTCAGTCAGCATCGGATGAAGGAAACCAACCAAAAAAGAAAGAACAAAAGGAAAGTCCCTTATGAGAGAGAGAGAACAAAGTATACATAGCTCTTCTGTTATAGTCTGCATGGAACTGTTCCCATCACCCGCTATCTCCACATTCAGGGAGAGTTCTCAGCAATATAGTGGCACAGGACACAGAAAGCAGAAGCTTTCTAGCTGCGTATGCCACATGGTAGGGCTGCCCTGCATCCTGCCATTTTACATCAATCCTTGAGATATTTGGGTGAGCTTAAAGTCCCAGCGGCTGGAGTCAGCTGACTTTGTGGGACACTCGTCTTCCATTTTAAAAAAACCCAGGAAGTTTCTAGCCCTGGGGTTTGTAGAGCTAACACTAGAAAATGTGAAGCAAATGAATCCAAAGATAACTAAAAAGCAACCTGGAAGTTATTTATTTTTAAAATCCTCAAGATTTTAAGGCAGGCATGATTTTAGGGGCCTGACCCTGATTTTTGAATACTTGGGGCTAGTGATTCTGAATCACTCTAGATAACAATCACATGGCTTGCTGGAACTTTCATAAAAGACCCCACATTTCTTCTCCTGGGTGACAATTTTCCCTCTTTTCATGCTGCAGCCTAACACACCTGTATTAAGCCAACGTGAAAGTAAAACATGAGAATGCTTTCTCTCTCTTTTCTAAACAGCAACCGAAAATGCTTAATGGAAGATTTGCCTGTTCTCTTGGTGCTGTATCTTCTGATCTCGCTGTTTGTGGAATGCACTTGTAATTTTCCAACCCAGAGCCAGGAATGTGGCTTAGTATCTAGGGCTATGTGTACAGAGCAGAAAAATACCTGTTGCAGTGAGACTCAGAACTAAGGTCATATGACATGGGTTCATGCTAAGGGACTAAAAATAGCAGCATAGATGGTCGGGCTCCACTTGGACCCTGCCCACTCTGCCTCACAGTTGTTTTTGCATGGTGTGAACGTAACTTCTTGAGCTGAGACACTGTCTTACCATAGCACCTGAGTGCCTCACAAGCTTTAATATATTTAGTCTAGCATGCATTCCTTGTGAGCCCCAGGTACTGCCATTAACCCTGTTTTACAGATGCGGAAACTGTGGCACTGACCGGCTAAGTGATTTGTCCAAGATCACAAAAGAAGTCTGTGGCAGAGGATGGAATCATAGATGTGCAGGGCTGGGGTCTTGAAAAGTCAGCAAGTCGAGGGCCTTATGCTGAGGGAGATCCAAATAAACTTAGACCATTCCTGACAGGTGTTTGTCCCATCTGTTCTTAAAACATCTAGTGATGGTGATTCCACAATCACTTGTTCCGGAGCTTTCCCTGCCTGAGTCTTCTTTTTACATAAGAACATAAGAACGGCCATACTGGATCAGACCAAAGGTCCATCTAGCCCAGTAGGCTGTCTGTTGACAGTGGCCAGCACCAGGTGCCCCGGAGGGGTTGGACTGAAGACAATGATCAAGAGATTTGTCCTGTGCCATCCATCTCCAACCTCTGACAAACAGAGGCCAGGGACACCATTTCTATCCCCTGGCTAATCGCCTTTTATGGACCTAACCTCCATGAATTTATCTAGCTTCTTTTTAAACTCTGTTGTAGTTCTAGCCTTCACAGCCTCCTCTGGCAAGGAGTTCCACAGGTTGACTATGCGCTGTGTGAAGAAGGACTTATTAGATTTAAGCCTGCTACCCATTAATTTCATTTGGTGTCCTCTAGTCCTTATATTATGGGAACTAATGAATAACTTTCTCTTTATTCACCCTCTCCACACCACTTATGATTTTATATGCCTCTATCATATCCCCCCTCAGTCTCCTCTTTTCCAAACTGAAAAGTCCCAGTCGCTTTAGCCTCTCCACATATGGGACCCGTTCCAAACCCCTAATCATTTTAGTTGCCCTTTTCTGAACCTTTTCCAAGGCCAAAATATCTTTTTTGAGGTGAGGAGCCCACATCTGTACACAGTACTCAAGATGTGGGCGTACCATAGTTTTACACAGGGGCAGTAAGATATTCTGGGTCTTATTTTCTATCCCTTTCTTAATAATTCCTAACATTCTATTTGCCTTTTTGACCGCCGCAGCACACTGTGTGGACGTTTTCAGGGAACTATCCTGGATAACTCCAAGATCTCTTTCCTGATTTGTCGTAGCCAAATTAGCCCCCATCATACTATATGTATAGTTGGGGTTGTACAGGATTAAACATGAGGTTTTTTTAACCTTTCCTTTCTGGGCAGGCTTTCTAAACTTTTGATAATTTTGGTTGCTCGCCTCTGGACTCCCTCCAATTTGCCCATGTTTCCTAAAGCATCCTGCCCAGACTTCTCCAGTGGAGATATCACCAGTGCCAAGGGGAGCAGGACAATTACTTTCCATGTCTTACGTACGACACACCTGTTAATCCATCCCAGGATGCTATTCAGCTTTTTCACATTGGCATCACAAAGTCGGCTCATATTCCACATGTGACCCTCTGGAACCCCCAGATCCTTTCCAGTCGTTCGGCTGCCTCCCCTCCCCATTTTATAGCCGTACATTTGATTTTTATTTCCTAAGTGCAGTACTTTGCCTTGGTCTTTATCGAATTTCAGAGCAAGAAATGGAAGCTGGATCGCCCACCTCCTAGATTACCTCTCTCTTCCCCTCAACCCGGTCATACTCTCTTCTCTCCATCTCAGCCCTGCCAAGTCTTTCACTGTTTTGATTGAATTCATTTATTTATAGCACAGATTTCACACCCTAGATTCCACGGCAATTAAAGTAACAATTTTCAACACACAAATAAACTCTCTTGCCAGTCCTTAAGAAATGACCAGTGCGTTCTCACCTGATCATCATTAGTAAACTCATAATCAAGCCCACCTCATGTCACATCTCCCTTCCTTAAATGCCTGCGTAAACTTGTTGGCTATGTAGCCTGCCTGGGAAATTAACAAATCCCTCTCCCCCACCCGCCCCAAGTTTAAAGGGACACTGGCACCTTGGAGCTTAATCCAGATGAAGCTAATGGGAAAAGGCATTCTTATTGTGGAATAAGAGTGTCCACTTGGAAACACTGCCCAGAATAAGCTATTCTGAAGTATTCCCTGTGTAGACAAGCATGTAGTTTCAAACCAAGAGCTCATAGCAATTCCAGGCCCAGCACATGCCCTTGAATCCCACTGCTCATTTTGCAGCTTTACAGGTGGATGCTTCTATTTCTCTTCTATGCTTTTACTTCCTTCACTGGCTGCCTCATATGACATCCACACAAGCTACAAGGGAAACTGAGGCTGCATCTATACTGGAAGAGAAGTAGTGTGGTCACATAGGTAGGGCAATCTGGAGATGGGGGTCCTATTCTTGGCCCTGCGGGATGACCACAGGCAAGTCCCTTTCTCTCTTGCTGCCTCAGTTTCCTCTCCTACCCAATGTCTGCATAGGTAGACTGTTAGCTCTTTAGGAGCAGGCATTTTCCATGTCTGTATACAGCCCCTAGTACCCCGTAAGGGGCAGACCAAACATTACCACCTCTTGCAAATATTCATGATATTTGATGCTTTTCTGAAAGCTCCAGCACCCACAGTCATGCGAGAAAATGAAAGCCGAGTGACTCCTGTCGAGAACACAGTTTCTAGCCATTGTGATTGCAGAGAGAAGCATGAAAATGTGACTTCTAAAGTCTGCAAAGTCAGAAGGCAAACAAAAACCTTCCCCTCTCCCCCACCCCATTCAATATTGTGGCAGTCTCATGCTTTTTAACACAATCTCACGGCTTATGAGTTTGAAGGCATGGGACTGAAAATCCTGGTGATCTAATAATAACAGAGGCACTTGCCTCAATGTCCACTCCTGGCATGAATGCACTTCTGCAAAGTGCTAATGTAGACAGGGTAAATGCCACAGTATCTCTCTCTCTCTCTCTCTCTCTCTCTATTTATCTATCTATCTATCCCCACAAACCCCCTCTATCTATCTATCTATCTATCTATCTATCTATCTATCTATCTATCTATCTCAGGGCAAATTCCTGATCCGCTTTCTATTCTGATTTATTTCCTGAACACCCTCATGTTCTGGCTGTTTGGAGCATGGGCCCATCTCAGATGTCAAGGCAGTTTTGTTTCTCACCAACATTGGATTATGGCTGTGTGTTTCAGTGAGATGTTTAATATCCCACCATTCAAATGGATACAACCTAAAGGACCTGGGTTTGTCTTTATTCTTAGTTATTGGGCGTGTTTCTCCCATCAACCTGTGTCGTCAATTACTCCAGCACAGAGGTGAAAGGAAGCGGGTGCACTCTAGTGCGCAGCTCCGGCAAGAGCTGAGGTAAAAGCCAGCAGGGAGCTATTTAAAGAGCTGACAGGGACCCGGGTTGCACTAGGACAGTATGGCTACGTCTACACTGCAGGCTTTTTGTGCAAGAACAGCTGTTCTTGCGC